TGGTGACGGGTACTTGCTACCGACTCACAAAGCCCTGGGCTCTTAACCCAGCTTTGCAGAGGCTCCTTACAGAAATTCTGTGCATTTCCTGATTGGTGAGTTGGTGTCAGTGATACTGCTTAACTTAGAGGGTGATTGTGAGGTTGGAATGAGAAAATTCCATGTGAGCTGTGTTCATGTAGCACAGTTTTCTACATTGTTAGTGCCCTGTAACAGCCATGATTACTGTTACTGATTGTCTCAAATTTTTATTTTATTTATTTCAAAAATTTAAGTTTTATTTATTTATTGGCCATGCCAGCACATGTGGGATCTTAGTTCCCAGAACAGGACTCGAACCCTTGCCCCCTAACTGGAAGTGCAGAGTCTTAACCCACTGGACCTCCAGTGTAAGCAGGGAAGTCCCTGTTACCAGTTGTGTGATTTGGAGTCAAATGTCTCTGAGCCTCAGTCGTGTCACCTACAAAATGAGGACAGAAATATTGATAGCAACAGCAGTTTTGTAAGGAGTGGGTGAGACGGTGCTGGAAAAGCATGGGCTTAGTTCCTGGCGCTTGTCCTGCTCTTGGTATCAGGCTGCGGTAGTTAGTGCAGTTGTAACAGTTCAGTTTGCTCTGTGGTCTACAGCTGTTTATGAATTGCACCCCCCCCGGAACCTGTAAGCAGACGCTATGCTTTCATCTTTGCCCCCAAAATGCTCAGCCCAGTAGTTAATCAGCGAACGGCCGTTCAGACAAGGCGTGCTTGAGCTTACAGAGCGCATGGACTAAGAACCGGGGCCGCTCACTGTGCTCACGTTGTTGTCCTAGTCGCTCCGTTGTGTCCGACTCTGCGACCGCATAGACGGTAAAGCCCACAGGCTCCTCTGTCCCTGGGATTCCCCAGGCGAGAATAGTGGAGTGAGTTGCTGTTCCGTGCTCCCGGGGATCTTTCTGACCCAGGGACCGAACCTGCGTCTCTTGTGTCTCCTGCATGGGCAGGCCGTTCTTTCCCCCTGAGCCACCGGGGGAGCCGCCTGCATCTACACGAGGGGAGCATCGTGCCTTGATGGCCTCTCCTCGCTGTGAGCCGTGTGAAGTTGTCCTCAGCACTGGAAGCCTGTATACCCTGAGTCACGTCTAGACATTTCTGCTTGCCTTCAGATACTTTGAAAGAAAAGAATGCTCTCGTGTCAAATTCTCCTCGCAGTTAAAAAGAAACCACCAGTTGTGCCCCCCCCCTCGGCCCCCCCAGAAAGAGCCGGCTGTAAGCTTGTCCGAGTTTTTGGAAAAGGAAGTGTTGAAAGCCCGCACGTTCATCACTGCGCTGCTGTCGCCTCCGTCCCTCCCCATTCGCAGCGTGTCAGGGGAATTCCAGTCCCTAAGATGCTGAGAAGGCCTGGGTTAGGAAAAGACGCCCTCACCTCCGAAGGGCCTGAGAGCAGGGCCACCAGTGACATCAGCTGAGGCTCAGGCTTTTGGAGGTTTGTGGTCTCAGCTGTTAACCTATGTTTTGCCAGGTTTCAGTCGCCTCTGCCTGGCTTTTGCAGAACTCAAGGTTACCGATCCGACTGTCTGGAGGCCGTTCGTGCTTCTTGCTTAGATGCCCACGTTCTCCTGTCACCAGTCAAGGAAGCAAGTTGCCACTAGCCAGGGGCTTTATGTTTTTTCAAAAGGATATTCAGCAGTTAAGATGTTAGCCGTGCGAACATTTGTTCCATGAATCTTTGTGCATTTGGATAAAACTGATGAAGTTGTAAGTTCCACTGAAATTTCATAGCCCTGTTTGGGTATCCATAAAATCTGCTGCTGCTGTTAAGTCGCTTCAGTCATGTCCGACTCTTAGCGACCCCATGGACTGCAGCCCACCAGGCTCCCCCGTCCCTGGGATTCTCCAGGCAAGAACACTGGAGTGGGTTGCCATTTCCTTCTCCAATGCAGGAAAGTGAAAAGTGAAAGTGAAGTCGCTCAGTCATGTCCGACTCTTCGCGACCCCATGGACTGCAGCCCACCAGGCTCCTCCGTCCATGGGGTTTTCCAGGCAAGAGTGCTGGAGTGGGGTGCCATTGTCTTCTCTGCATAAAATCTGAGGCCTGTGTTTTAACTGATTTTATGAATTATGCTTCCTAAGTTGATGTAGAGTTAAATAGGATGTAATTAACTCTTCTTGACACGCCCGAGTCACTGGGTGCATGCACAGGTGCCCCTGGTTATCTGAGGACTGTGCTCCAGCCCAGCGACTCCCCAGGTCACATCTCACCCTGCCTCTGTTTCCTCTTCCTCAGACAGAGGGGTCAAACTTAGATTAATCTTTAAAGACCTTCAGCTTTTTATTTTGTAAGATGATTTTTTTTTTTGGTTGTGGACTTGTTTTTAAAGTCTTTCTTGAATTTGTTACAGTATTGCTTCTGTTTTATGTTGTGATTTTTTGGGGACATGAGGTGCGTGGGGTCTTAGCTCCCTGGCCCGGGATCGAACCAGCATCCCCAGCATTGGAAGGTGAAGTCTGAACCACTGGACCACCAGGGAAGTCCTCACTTTAGCTTTTTAAAAATCACTTTTCTTCAGATGGAGCCAGCTCTCCAGTTGGGTAAGGGCTTCATCCTTTCATTCTTCATTCTGCCTGTTTCTGCGACAGCCCGAAATCTTGCTGGTCTCTGATACTTGCCTTCCATTCTGGAAAAAGAGAAGCCAGCCTGACGTTTCTGGAAGCACAGATGTTGACAGACAGCTGGAGGAGACGTGGGGCTGAGTCATGATCTCTGCAGAATCAGGAGGGCCCCGCCCGCATGGGCCAGGTCTTCCTGATGAAGAGCTCCCAGCTCTTTACACAAAGCTGGATTCTACTCCTGCTGATGGAGCCAGAGCGTTTTGTTAGCTTGTATCCAGAAGAGCTGGGGGCAGGGCAGGAGGGGGATAGCCCCTGGGGGAGGAGGGGTGCAGTCTTACAAGGGAACCACAGGCAGCTCCAGGCGAGAAGGGAGGCGCTCTCCTGCATCTGATCCCCTGTGCTTCTGGGTTTGTATCCAGCTGAGTCCTCTTCGAGCCTGGTACTCTGTTAGGCTGTGCGGTGTAAAGGCAAGGGTGCGCCCTTAGGGGGCGTCACACACTAGAGGGGAGGCACCTGCTGCCCTTTATCGCGCATCCGCTGTGCTTGCCCTGTGGATGTCCACATAATGCTTTTTTTAAAAAAGAACTATATATGTATACATATGTGTGTGTGTTAGTCGCTCAGTCACGCCTGACTCTTTGTGACCCCATGGACTGTAAGAAGCCCGCCAGGCTTCTCTGCAGTGGGATTCTCCAGGCAGGAACACTGGAGTAGGTGGCCATTCCCTTCTCCAGGGATCAAACCTGGGCCTCCTGCACGGCAAGCAGGTTCTCGACTCTCTGGGTCACCAGGGAAGCTCATCTGTATGTGCGGCATCTCAGTTCCCCAGGCGGGGATCAAACCTGCACCCCTGCAGTGGAAGCGCAGAGTCTTAACCACTGGCCCCCTCTGATACAGAGATGAGGTTCACAGGCGCTGTCTGCAAACGGCTGCGGGCCCGTGGAGGAGGGAGGGCAGCCCCGGCTGGAGCTGGGGAGTCAGGAAGGGGTCCTGGACGCAAAGGGAAGGGGGAGGCAAGCGGGGCATTTTCGGCGAGGCAGGGACCTCAGCTCTGCTGCAGCGGCGCTGGAACGCGTTCAGTCTCTTAGCCGGCAGCACAGGGCCTCGTAAGCGGGAATCTCTGCCTTGGGAAGGCGTACGTTTGTCTGCAAGAGTGAGGACAGGTGAGTACTGCCTTTCCCCAGGTCTTGTAGGTTAGTTACAGCTTCTAAAGGCTTATTAGTTGTTTTCTGGAAAGTGGAACAAGAGAAGTATGTTCCTCTTGCTTCTCCTGACCAGTATTAAAAACCCCAAGCGTCTCCACCCCTCTTTCTCAACCCACATCCCTGAATGAAGTGTCTAAAGGGTGGTATTCATGCTTCTGTTTGCTTCAGCCTTGGGAGGCCTGCCCTCCAAGCACAGGAGCCAAAACATCTGGTCTTACCAGGCCCTCGCCTAGGGGTAGTTGACTAGTGTTTCAGGAGACACTGGCTCCTGCATCTCCATGCAGTACTCAGCTTTGATGACCAGGGGCGCTCTCTTCTTTGCAGCAGATGCATTGATATTTTCTTTGCATTGCTCATTCTGCTCTGAGTCTTTCTCGTCCAGCTGGACCCCACAAGTGCCCACAGTATCACAAAGTCTGGGTGGAACTGGTCCTGTGGGTGTGCTGTGTTCTCCCTGAAACTTTCTCAGTCTGCACGGCGTGGAAATGATCTTTCCCTACACACTGGCCTTTGTATCTCTCTTCTTGCCTGATCACATCCTGCCCTTCATTAGTTATTTATATGTGTATCCTATCTCTCCTCGCAGGTTGTAAACTCACCCAGGCAAGGACTATGTGTTCTATGCATTCTTCACAATCGCTAATGTGAGGCTTTGACCATAATAAGCACTCAATAAATATTTATTGAACTGAATCCAGATAGCATTATTTATTTTGAGCTGAGTCCTCATCAAGTACAAAAGGAATTGTTTTTAGAAAGGTCAATATTTACTTTCGCCTGTCCAATCCCTTGCCCCCAGATCTATATTTGTTAGTTAATTAAGACTGGTATATCATCTGTAGCCTGAAGGATACGGCAGACTCAATATGAGAATGCAAGGTTAAAAGAAGGCAGTTTGGGAGAAGATTCACTAGAAAACTTCTGTGGGAGGCAGCAGACTCCTGAGTTCAGCAGATTGTAGTAACTCCATAATCTTTTGCATCTAAGACCAAGAAGGAATCATGGCTAGATAGAGCATTGTCTTTTTTTTTCTTTTTAAACCACAAATAGCATAACATTCATCTGCAGAAAGACTTTTTGGTGCTAAACTTGAGTAGGAATTTTTATCTCTCAGGTCCTCTGCAACTTGTCACTGCACATACGTACCTAGTAAGTCTTCCTTTGTCAGTTGTCTTATTGAATTTTTGTTATTGTTGCTTTTCTGTTTCACTTGCTGCTTCTCTTGTCTTCTCCACGGCTGATTTTTCTAAACAAGAGACTAGAGATGTGAAGAACCGTGTCAGCAGCAGCGTCCTCAGTACAGTTTATGACTTGGGTCTCCTGGGCGAGGACACTTGGCTGCATGTTTTCAAGCAAGTTTAGTTTGATAAAGAAGTCAGATCCGTTAGATTCAGATGTAGCTGCTATCTTTTGACCGTTTGTTGTGAACTCGGCACTTGCACATACATCATTGCATCTTATCGCGGAATATTGTAACAGGAAGAAAAATCTGTGATTATTAAGAACCTTGCATCTCATACTAGGAAATGTGTTCTCTGGGGATTTATGTGATGGTCTGGGAGGAGAGAGGTGAGGTTACAGGACACCCGTGGTATAGCTTCTGGGAGCATCAGCTTTACTCAAAGACCAGGTTGTGGTAGGTAATGCATGAACTCAGGCCATTTAAAATGACCAATTGTCATTTTATGTTTAAACTATCATATTTAAACTAGAGGTATATGGAAATATGGAGGAGATGTAGAGGAGAATGCAAAACATATGTGAGTCTTGGTGATAAAATAGAGACTTTATTAGGATTAGGTACTTAGAGTAAGTGCTTTAGGATATGCCCTGTCTCTGCTCAGGGGTACCTTGTGGAAGAGTTGGAGAGAACACATCCTCCCCCCACCTACTAGGTTCATCGCTCTTTGTCTTGTAGACACTGGGGTCCCGGAGTTTTCATCCCAGCTGGCTGATGTGGGGCTTGAACTTACAGTTCATCGAGTGCCTCCCTGTCATGGTGCCTCTCACAGTCATCTATCTCTGTGGCTCCTGAGTCCTCACTCCCTTCCACTCTAAGGTCCAGACACTTTCACAGGAAAGCTACTGTCCTTTGGAAGATGGGAGCTTCCCTGGTGGCTCAGCTGGTAAAGAATCTGCCTGCAATGCTGGAGGCCTGGGTTCGATCCCTGTGTTGGGAAGATCCCCTGGAGGAGGGCATGGCAACCCACTCCAGAGTTCTTGCCTGGAGAATCCCATGGACAGAGGAGCCTGGCGGGCTACATTCCATGGGGTTGCAAAGCGTTGAACTCTGAGCATGCATGCACATCCTAAGATTAGGAAAGAATAGACAGACTAGCACCGCATTTCTTTATGTGGATTGCATCTTGTGTTGTGCTTCTCCTGTTTCCTCACCTGCAGGATGTGGGTGTTCATACGTGCTTCGTGTGGTTTTCATGAGGATTGAGATGTGAGATGGTGACAGGCAGCATGATCAGCAGGGCACCTGGCACTTCCTCAGGAGTTCCAGTCTCAGGGGTGGGTGGGCGAAGCTGTCTCCTGTGCCCTGCTCAGCCCCTGGGCCACTCAAGGCACAGATGTGGTACGTGTCCACTAAATGCTCCCTTCATTTACTGCACAGGTGTTTGATCACCTAGCCCTGTGCCAGGTGAGGGGAGACGTGGGGCATTTATCATCCCAGGGGTGTTCATAGGGTCAGGAGATACATGCTCCTCTACCAAGAAGAAAAATCATCCAGAGAAAGTGACCCAGTGGTGAGTGGTGGTCAGGAGGTGACTTTGAGGTAGCGGAGTGCAGAGCTGACTTGGAAGGCCTCCCAGCTCCGTGGCTGACTGTGCCGGGGTGGGGGTGGGGTCCTTACCCCTTCGGGCGCTGCTGTCAGGATTGGACCTCGTGCTGCTGCAGAATCGGACGTCTTGTCACCACTGTGACTGGAGGGTGATTTACTGTGTCATGAGGCCGTTTGGTTTCAGGAAGTGATGGTTTACTGGAGCGTAGGAATTGGTACTTTGGCCACCTGATGCCAAGAGCCGACTCATTGGAAAAGAGTGATGCTGGGAAGGATTGAAGGCAACAGGAGAAAGGGAAACACAGAGGATGAGATGGTTGGGTGGCATCACTAACTCAATGGACATGACTTTGAGCCACTCCAGGAGATTGTGAAGGACAGGGAAGCCTGGCGTGTTGCAGCCCATGGGCTTGCAGAGCGTCAGACGCAACTTAGCGACTGAATGACAACAGGAATGGGTGTTCAGAGTTGGGAAAGAGCTAGCAATTAAAGAGCTACTTCAGCTGGGAGACTGAATCCGCTCTTAGCCAGTGGGGCAGCCACACGTTGATTTTTAAAGCATCTGGGGGCCAGCAGCGTCAACATCACTGGGGAGCTTCTTAGAAACGCTGAACCCAAGTCTCCACTCTAGACCTAGTGAATCAGAGTTTGGATTTTAATAAGATCTCCATGTGTTTGTGTGCAGTCTGGGGAGCAAACTTTGGGAAAGACGGAGCAATTCTATAGCCTGCAAGCCTTGGAATGAGCGTGTTGTTCACTGAACGTCAGTCATCGTGCAGGGCTGCCAGTCAGGGCCACCTTTCTCACTTTTTAGTAATTGCCAAGTATTTTAAGCAACAATTCCAGACTGAGCTGCATAAATATGAATTACTGATTAAAACAATAGTATCTTAGCATTAAAAATCTATTTATGTGCATCCTCTTCTCTGATCACACAGTGATCTTGTGTGATAGTCAAATCCCTGCTTTGTAGGTAGTAAAACCGAAAGCACAGAGAGGCTATGTGACATACCCAGAGTCACACAGTAAAATCAGTAGCAGTGTTTGAACTGTGGTCTTAAACAACAGGTTCAGAGCTTGCTATTTTTTTAAAATCATCTAATGTTTTAATAGTGAGATGCAAGAAATCCTCCATCAGGGCCATGACTTTGCATAACTGCACTTACACCGAAGGAACGTGAAACAGTTCTAAGTGGACAACAGTCTGGGCCAGGGACGGAATTCTGTAAGAGTCGGCTTCTAGAAAGTTCTGTGACCATCCTGGCTTAGAGCCGGTAACAGTAAGACAACTTTCCCTCTCCCCTTGGCTTACCATTCACCTCCAACTCTTCACTAAAGCCCAGCTCTGGGGAGTCCTCTGTAGAACCTTCCCTCTAGGGAGGGACTGATCATTGGTTCCTCCATTAGTGTTCTGGACTTCCCTCATAGCTCAGTTGGTAAAGAATCTACCCGCAATGCGGGTAGACCTAGGTTCGATCCCTGGATTGGGAAGATCCCCTGGGGAAGGAAATGGCCACCCACTCCAGTATTCTTGCCTGGAGAATCCCATGGACAGAGGAGCCTGGGGGGCTACAGTCCATGGGTTTACACGAATCTGACACAACTTAGCAGCTAAACCACCACTCATGTTTCACTCGTGCTTCTGTTACAAAAAGGATCACTGCATCTTAACTGCTTGTCTCGTTACGCACCCACCCAGGCAGCCTATGTAAGCTCCTTAGGAACCAAGAGAGGGCCTCAGCTCACCATCATAGCCCCAGAACCTGGCTTATTTTGGCCCTCCATGCATCCTTGGTGGCTCAAAGAAGCTATTTGCAACTAAGGAGACCGGGGTTCAACCCCTGAGTCAAGAAGATTCCCTGAAGGGAGGGCATGGCTGCCCATTCCAGTTTTCTTACCTGGGAAATCCCGTGAACCGAGAAGCCTGGCAGGCGATAATCCACAGGGTTGCAAAGAGGTGGACATGGCTGAGCAACTAACACTACACTTTTCACATGTTGAAAGTATGAATGCGTGCATGCATGCATGATCTAGATGCGGTTTTTGTCCACTCCACCCCACCCCCATTGTCTGCTTTTTGAGGATTTTTAAGAGCATCTGACGGTTGGGGGCAGGAAGTATATGGGTGGGAGATAAAACTCAAATTTGTAGCTTGGCTCCTCTTCAGCGGCTTTTGGGAAAGCATTTTAAGGAAGGGAGGGGGATTCACTTGGGCTTGAGAGTGATCTGGTCCATTACAGTGAATAAACAGGCAGGGACTTCAGCTGCACTTGCGTGAAATGCTTTCACACTGTCTTCTCAGGGTCCTCTTGTAAGCAGTGGAATATAACAAGGGATTCTGGGAAGTTCAGGAGTTACAGCCTTTTCCACCATTTGGGTGACTCTGACTATAGTGCCTTGGGATCTAGTGAATTAACTCATGTCTGAAAATATAAGTCGGGGTGAATTTTACCTCCTGATAAGTAAATGGCTGGTAGGAGGGAGGCTCTGACTGCTTTTTCAAAGAGTGGATGTAACATGCTCATTTGTTCACTCCACTGATTGACAGCATTCATTTATTTACTCCTTCACTGTCTGTCTCATTTGTCAGCCTTACCTCCCCTTTCTCCCCTCTTTCTGCTCCCGCCTCCCCTCATCTCTGTAATCCCTGGGAGCCTGAGGGCAGCTGGAAGCTAATCAGCATTTTTGCCCTGTGGGCATTGCCATCTCACTTCATCCAGTTTTCTTTCTCAAGGACATTGTGAGGAAGAGGCAGGAGGTGGCTGTCTGCAGCCCTTTTCTCTTAATGAGGACAGTCGGCCCCTCAGTGGGGACAGGCGGGGCAGAGATGAGGGGGCCGATGAACCAGAAACTGTCGGCTGAGGTCTTAGGAAATTATTTTTTCTGGAATTCATCCACTTGGAATATATACTCTAGCAATTGTCTATTTCTGGCTCCAGAATGTGTCTTTGAGTGTCAATCCTGGTTTCATCTCTGAGTTTTTTCAACAGGAGAATTTGATATTCACATTCTAAGCGCGCTCTGTAATGTTTCCACTTACATACCAGTCTGCCTCATCTTTTGGCTGGAAGGGTATGTGAATATTTACAAGAACCCAGGGTTCATTTTTAGTTGTGGCAGAAGCAAGCCCCAGGGGAAAAGTCAGGATAACTGGATTCCTGAAACGGTAGCCTGGCAACTCTTCTTTTCTCCTCCTCAGCGTGCAGAGCAGTCCCCTGGTTTTAGAAGATAAGTGGCTCCTACTTGTGAAGGTCTTCTGTAGAAGCATGCCCTGGAGGTGTCAAGAGCCCTTGTAGTCTTTGCTCGCTTTACCCCAGGCCAGATGTCATCAGCCTAGAAGCGCATCACCGCAGAGGAAGAATAGTGTGTTTGATGTGTGTGCGCGCGCACGTGCTTTATCATATCCAGCTCTTTAGCAGCCCCATGGACTATGGACCACGAGGGTCCTCTGTCGGTGGGATTTTCCAGGCAGGAATACTGGAGTGGGTTGCCATCTCTGCTTTCAGGGGATTTTCGCGACCTAGGGATCAAATCCACGTCTCTTGTGTCTCCTGCATTGGCAGGCGGATTCTTTACCACTGAGTCACCTGGGAAGCTCTGTGTATTTGATTCCACTAAAATTGATCACGTCTTCCTGGTACAAGGAAAGGAAGAAGTAACGTCCTGTGTGTTCATATGAAAGTTTTGTGGTTCAAAGCACCTGTGCGGAAATTGTCCCAAGGCACAGACC